GGCTTCGGTGGCGCTGCCCCGCCGTGCTCGGCACCGGCGTGTCCTCTTGCGGCACCTGGCAGCTTCGTTTGCAACTTCAGAGGGGCAAAAAAGAGGTAGAGGCGTGAGAAAATACGGCATTTGCGCAGTCGTGTGATGCTTGCAGCAGGAGAGAGCTGGGTATAGCAGGGCAGAGATGAAATTCCCAGAGGCGGAGAAGAACATCTCTGGATCCGGGCTGGGCTGTCCTGTTCAGGCACAAATACCAAATTAATTGCCCGATCTGGGATTAGAAAAGAATTTTCCTCCAGCCTCCTCGCAGGCCGGCCATGGGCGCTTTGGTGGGGTTCTCCACGTGTGGGGTGATCCCTTATGGGAGTTATCCGTGCGTGGGGTTACCCCTGCATGGCGTTATCCATATGGGAGTTATCCATGCACGGGATTATCCCTGCGAGGGGTTATCGCCATGTGGGGTTATCCGTGCACACTCTCCCTGCCCCGTGCCCGGTGACTGCAGGGACCTGGGCCACCAGCCGCTTTCTGCGGTCTCTCCCCCTCGCTGCCCGCGGTAGGTTGCAATTTTGGAGGGCTGTGGCCTTTTAGGACCAAAGGTCTGGGTGTATCGTGGGGTTAGGAGGCATGCTTTACAGCTTCATGCTGCGCAGGAAGTTTTCTGGGTGTTTCTCTGCATCTTGTGCCGCCTAGGGGTGCGAGGGTCCTGCTTTCGGTGGTGAAAGGCATCCCGTCCTTTCCGCACCCCATGGATAGGTGGTAGGTACATGAAACAGTGGCATGGAAGCCAGCGGGCAAAGCTCGTGCCAGACTCTTTATTTTTGAAGAAAAAACAAAGATTTTCTTTTAGAGACCATGGGAGAAAAGCCTCCCCCCACCGGCAAGGCTCCCCTTTGGTGCAGGCTGGCGGACACAGCTCGTGCTCCCGGCCAAGGCCAGGCGGCCCTGGCTCTCGGGAGGCTGCTCCCGGCTCTGCCGCGGGCCCCTTCACCTTAGCGGGAGCTGCCAGGGGCTCGGCAGTTTGGAAATTAAGCCGTTTATTCCGGGCCTAAGCCTGGCCTTAAGAGTCTGATAGCAGGCACTCATTTAGCTAGATCTAACACCTTCATCTCTTGCAACACGCTAAATGCTTTGGGCTTAGAAAAATCTATTGTTCAGCTGATGCTGAGGCGTCTAATTAGCACAGGTTTATTGCTTTCTAATCAATGCACTGAAAACAGGGCACATTTTGGGCACATTCATTCCTGAAGATTAGGCAGCACTAACTTAATAGCTTATCAGTATTATATTACTGAGAACACTTAGTAATCCCAACAGGTAGGGTTTAAACTTCATTTAAACAGGATGAGAACGTGTTGCCAGATGAATGCAAATTACCTCCGCTTTGACATAAAGGAGACGTAATTAAATACGAATTGACTGCAGAAATATGCGGTATGAACAGCAGCCCGCAATCCTCTGAGCTAGAACAGGAATAAATGACCCTTCGGAAGGGATCCTGCCAACCCGCCTCCAGGCACACCTCTCCTCCCGGGGGACTCGTAGTGACATTCAAGAGAGAGAGAGAGAGATATATATTTGTACTAGAGACAGATGATTGTATGTAAACCTGGGAAATTAAGGCGGAAGAGACAACAAGAAAAGTTCCTAACGGCATTGTTTGGAATTTCGACCTCCCGAGCCCCCACCTCTTCTCTGATGATTTTTTTTAACCCGCAGCGCTGAAAAGCTCAGGGAGCCGGACGGAGCCGGCACAGAGCCCGCTGGGCGCTGCCCCGCGGCTCGGGCGCCCGAGCCTCGGGCTCCACTCCGCGAAC